AGAGATCACTTCCACATCCTTGGCCGGCTCAGCCCCGGCACCAGTCTTGATCTTTGCCTTTCCTGCCTTTTTGTTCTTTGCCTTTGTGGCCTTCTTCTTCAGGGTGCCCTTCTTCATAACGATCTTCTTCGGCTTGCTGCTCTTATGGATGTGCACAAACTTCTCCGCAAACTTCTTCGGCTCGCTGCTCTTCAAGGTGTCCGGAAACTTGGTCGGGCTGCTGTTCTTAAAGATTTCCGGCAACTCCGGGAACTCAGCATCCTGCAAAGGAGTAGGCTTCTCGTCACACCGAAAGGGAACAGGCTTCTCATCCTCCTTCACGGGAACAAGGGCCGTGCTGGGGGAATCAAGAGGCTTCGGGGCAAACTCCTGCACCTGCACCCTTTCCAGGCAAAGGTCAAGCTTCCTGATTGTATGTTTGCACAGACTTAGATAAAAAAGTTTGCAACACTTTTCTTTCTTCCGTCACACGAATTATATATATACAGCGAAAAAACACGAAAGACATATGTGCAGCCACGGCACACTTGATCCTCGTGCGACAGGGACCTGTAGACTTTCCGCTTGAAGCTCTCCTTCTGCTTCATCGCACGGAGGTGGCTAAGAAGAAGACGGATGGCGGTGTCCATCTTGTCCACAAGGTCCTCTGCCTTGTAGTCTTTGTGGCCTTCGAGCTGCAGGTTCTTTTGCTCGTGAAGGATCCAAAAGCTTCGGGTAACCCGCTGCGACAACAACTTCGTGTTCGGGGCGAGGCGAAGAAGGTCAAACAGCAGCCCAGCTGTCTTTGCCAACCACGGACCGTGGACGGCAGTGTGCCAAGTGTAGCTTATTGGCCCGCCCGGAGGGGGGCACAGTAAAGGCCACAGGTCCTTCGTCTTCTTGAACTCGAGAAAGCCCAACACCACCTTCGCCAGCTCCGTTGCTGTAATAAGCGGATCGGCAACCACTCGGTCCTTGGCATTTTTGCCCGTTGCAGCGGAAGCGCCCTCCGCCAGCTTGACCGAAGCTGCAGCTGCTAAGGAAGCCATGCTCGCAAGACTGTATATACTGTGTATGTATAGGATTTATGATTTCTCAAAAAAATGGAATGCATTTGTCTCTGTCTCCATCCAGCCTCGCACTTACCTCTGGGTCTCGTCTGGACCAAACACACAGCTGCAACGTCCGAAAATTTTTCTCACTCTCGGATCTCAGAAAATATATATATATATATATATATAAGTAGATCTCTCGCATGTAACCTACAAGAGTCTCGCACAGGTAAAGGTGGACTCCTCGCAGGTATAAACTATATTGTGATGACTCTCGCAAATGTACATGTACCGATTTCTCGCATGTAAAAAGCACACATCGCAAGCAATCCGCCGGCTCGACCCAGCACAGAATCAAACCGAGCTGCGATTTCAACATGGAAAACCATGGCTTAACAAGTATGCTTGCAACACAATTCTCATAATTTTATCTTCACACCTGACCATGCCGCACTGTACAGTCGCAGGAAAATCTCATGCAATCAACAAGCAGAACCATGATAAAAGAAACAAAACCCACCAAAATTAGCTTGCATTTCACTTCTTCAAATTCGGGAATGTGTAACCTAAAAACATGTATTTTGCAGTGTAAAAAAATTTACATTGCAGTGTAAATTTTTTACTATACAAAGTAAATTAATTTACACTTTTTTTTTTACGTAAATTTTTTCGTAAATTTGAAGTGTAAACCAAGCTTTGTTTAGTAAATTGCTCGCCACCTAAAATTAGGTAAACAGCAGGGTCAGGGCAACAGCGCGCGCGCGCGCAGTGCGCGCGCAGTGTGGGCGAGCACAGGCAACAGTGCGCGCGCAGTGCGCGCGCAGCGTGGGTGAGCACAGGCAACAGCGCGCGCAGTGTGTGCGAGCACATCCAACAGTGCGCGCGCAGTGCGCGTGCAGCGGGTGCGCGCACGCAGTCGCGCGCGCAGTGCGTGCGCGCAGTGCGCGCGCAGGTGGGCGAGCCAGGCAACAGTGCGCGCGCAGCGCAGTGCGATGGCGCAGCGGGGGTGAGCACAGGCAAACGCGCAGTGCGTGCGCAGTGCGCGCGCAGCGTGGGTGAGCACAGGCAACAGAGCGCGCAGTGTGTGCGAGCACATCCAACAGTGCGCGCGCAGTGCGCGTGCAGCGGGTGCGAGCACATGCAACAGTGCGCGCGCAGTGTGCGCGCAGTGCGCGCGCAGCGTGGGCGAGCACAGGCAACAGTGAACAGTGCGCGCGCAGTGCGTGCGCAGTGCGCGCGCAGCGTGGGTGAGCACAGGCAACAGCGCGCACGCAGTGCGCGCGCAGTGCGCGCGCAGCGTGGGTGAGCACAGGCAACAGCGCGCGCGCAGTGCGTGCGCAGTGCGGCGCAGTGTGGGCGAGCACAGGCAACAGTGCGCGCGCAGTGCGCGCGCAGTGTGGGTGAGCACAGGCAACAGCGCGCGCAGTGTGTGCGAGCACAGGCAACAGTGTGCACAGAGCGTGCGCGCAGCGTGCACGAGCACATGCAACAGCGTGTGCGAGCATAGGCAACAGCGCGTGCAGGCACAGTCAACAGCGTGCGCGAGCACATGCACACGTGCATTGGACAGGGGACAGTGTCGTTACTGCGATTATTACTAGTATACTACGACTACTACTACTACTACCACTTTATACTGTACTACTACCACTACCATTTTCACTACCACTGCCACTACCACTACCGCTACAACTACCATGACGACCACAACTACCCTACTACTACTACTACTACTACTACTACTACTACTACTACTACTACTACTACTACTACTACTACTACAGAGGACAGTGTCGTGTATATTCCCTCTGGCAACAATATATTCACGACATCATTTTTGAGCCTGCCCTGCCCCACCCCCATTCCAAGTTGCAATCTGTTCTGGCTGCTGCTGCTCCTGCTTTTGCTGCTGTTGCTGTCCACTGTTCACTGTTCATGGTCTTCAATGCTCACTTTAAATCCTGCTTTCAAAGCCCCTTAAAGGCTCCCAAAACGAAAAGGTCAGAAGGTTAGATACCAACGAACGGAAGGTCAGTTGCTTTGAACAGGGATTTAGCCTCACGCATGACAGTGTTGTTGCTGCATTTGCTGCATGACTCTTTTGGCATGTCGCAAGCCTCCATGGCAGCTTCACGTCCTCAGACGATGGAGACGTCCAAGGACGGCGGTGCAGTGCTTAGCGGCAGGTAGCATTCGAGTGCGGGTTATGTGTCAGCTGCTATGCGAGGAGCGAGATCCTGATCTGGTGGAGCAGATCCCTTGCGAGGTCGCGGCGGGTTAGTTGTAGTTTGGAGCGTTTGACTGGTCGTCGGGGACGCTCATGCTTTGCGAGGAGGAACACCTGCCCGTTTACGAGCAGATCGCTTGGGAGGCTTGTTCTGGTGCGAATGTTGAGGGCTATTGTTGGTGTTGTGCGGTTAAGTGTCGCTGTTGGTGCTGCTGGCCTGATTCTGTGATGCTGCGAGGTTTGGTACGAGGATGATCCTCTCCGGGCGGTGCCATGGCATGCGTGCAGCTTGCGTCTCTTCCTCCTGGGATTCTGGAAGCACTGCTTCGCGACGTCGTTTCTGTGCCTGTGACGTTGGAGCTGCACGCAAAGAGTCGCTTGTATTTGCCTGATGAAGCCGGCGACTGGGTGGAGCAGCCCTTGGACTCCCCTGTTTCGTCGGCGGCCTTCATCGGGGATGTCTGCATTTGCTCTTTCTTCGTCGGGGGCTTCCTAGCCGTCTGAGCAGAACGCTGAGCCTCGAAGCTTTGGTGGAAAGGCGCGTGGTGTGGGAGGAGGAGGAGGAGGAGGAGGAGGAGGAGGAGGAGGAGGAGCGAGCTGCCTGCGGCCATTGTGCGCACGTGCATCGTGTGCAGCGTGCGGAGCTTGCGCGCGAGTGCGATTCAGTGAAAAACTCTTGCTGTTCTCAGTGAGTCCTCACGTGCCGCGGCGCACTCAGGGTGACCCGTGGTGACTTCGTTGCAGCTAGGGACAGTTATGTCACCGGAAGCAGGTTGACCTGCTGTGGGTCGACTGAACATTCTGAAATGGATCCGGATTAATGACTATTCGGAGTTCCCTCGACTGAGCAGCTGAGGCATCGCGTGCATGCGAGACAATCCGTAATTAGGAAGGCTGCGGCGTGCTGCTGTTGCTTTCAATTCATGATCGATCGCGGCGGCGATCGATGTGGGAAGGGACGGTGACTGCTCGCTGTGGGCGGCGCCGTACCTTGCTGTCGCAGGCATGCAGGGAAGACGTGGACAAAGGGTCGGCTGCGTTCACGCTTCCAGGTCGCATTGTTTGGAAGACAGCAGATGCCCTCGCTCGAGAGGGGGAGGGGGGAGAGTTGGAGAGTATGTTTCGGCAGCCCCACTGTGTAGAGAAAGGCCGAGTATAGGCATGCGTGATGCGTGGTCGTGTTCAAGCGTGGAAGCCGGGGACGCGAGCATCACAACTGCTGCTGTTGCGTTCTTGCCGTCGCATGTCTGGCTCGTGGTGATGTGTAGCTGACTGCTCGTTGTGGGCGGCGGTGACATTGTGTTCTCGGGGTCGTAGGGGCGTCCGCTCGCCGTGGACGGCGACTGCACTGCCGTGGCGAGTGTAGTTGACTGCTCGCTGTGGGCGGCTGCTACACTGCTGTTGGCGGGTTGCGGATTCTTTATAGTGCGCCCGCTGCCATGGGTGTGGAAACCAACGTGACCGGTAGATTTCGTGGTTTCGCAAAGGTCGGCGGGAAGAAGGAGAGAGGCGCCTGGCGTGACACTTGGGAAGAAGCCCTGGCCGACGTCACAGGGATGCGTGGCACACGTGGCGCAGGGCGGGAACGTCGAGATGCAAAGTGTGCGGAGCTGTTGAAGCGCATCATTAGGTTTTGGCTTCGCCAGAAGTCGAGCGATGCGAGTTTGCAGCAGGACTGGACGGGAGGGATGCGGGTCGTTGATGGTCGGTGCAGTGAGATGTAGCGCTGGACGTGAGTGCAGGACCGGGCTTTGCGGCGCTGCGTAGAGAGGATGCGCAAGGAGGACACGGGCTTCGGTCGGCTTGTGAAAGCGGCCGAATTGCTGGTGGGGGATTATCTTGCGCTGGAAGAGTTCGCCGCAGGCGCGCGAAACGAGCTCGCTGGGCAAGCAGCAAGCAGTGTGGTTGCAGAAGCTGGAAACCCGCTTGCAGAAATGCAGTCGACCGCTTCTGACGGCCGGTTTTAGTGCGGTGACCCTGCGAGCGGGGCTTCCGAATTTGGGCCAGAGCTGCTATATGAATGCTGTGGTGCAGTGCTGGTACGCCTGTCGAGCTCTTCGAGCGGATGTGTTGAAGGCGGAGGACGTCGAGTCGAACGGTCGTCTGCATGCAAGGGGTGCTCTTCGCGGCCTGATGAACCGACTGCACTCGCGAGACTGGGACTGTGTGTGCCCTTTCGAACTGCAGTTCGTCCTTCGGAGGTTGGATCCGGCTCGTTGGGCCGATGAGAAGTTGGCCGACGTCGTAGAATTTGCAGCCTTCTTGTTGGAATGCTGCTTGACGGACAAGAGTTTGGTACAGGACGAAGGAAGCAGTGACCATGTGCATCTCGGGCGCATTCCTCAAGCAGCCTTGCCCCAGAGAGCTTCTGGCTGGACTTTGTCCCAGGCCGTGTCATCGATATTTCCGACGGTGCAGCGATCGCCGAGGGTGCTGCTGTTGCATCTGCAGTGGCATGCTGAAACGTTTTTGGATTGGAGCGCGGGCTTCAAATGCAAGGTTGGTGTTGGTGACGCGTCTCGGCCTTTTTGTGTAGTCACTCTGTGGAGTTTGGATTTAGCGTCGTGGCGGATGTCGGATTTGCGGTTCGGCGTCAGGTGGGCTACGTTTTGAAAGCCATGGTGGTCCACGGCCGCGAGCATTACGTCGCATTCGTGCGCCGGAGCGACCGAGTGGGATGTAAGTTGTGTGTCGTGCGCTGTTTTTTTTTGTTTGGGTTTGCTTGCTTCATGTGTTGGACCAATGACAGCTTCGCAGGAACGATCGAGACTGGCTTCGCTGCGACGACTCGGTCGTGGAACCTGTGGTCGTGGACGCTCTGCCGCAGAGGCCGACGCTGTTATTTTTTGAGAAACGGGTGAGGCTGTGGAGCAAGCAGGCCGGAGATGCACGGCTAGGAAAGGCGCCGTTTGCAAGGTCGGAGTATCCGAAACTGGTGCTGATGTTGGAGGAAGCAAGGTACTCTGCGCGTCTGGGTCGATTTGCATCCGGAGTGCAGCGGCAGTTGCAGCGTTGCAAGCGTGATCGAAGAGGCCGGAAGCAAGATCGCGGAGGCCGGAAGCAAGATCGCGGAGGCCGGAAGTCAGATGGACAACGCGGGAAGCAAGGTCAAGGAGGCCGGAAGAAAGCTGGCGGATGGGAGGGAGGCCGGAAGCGAAAGCGAGATGAACAACCTCATGGTCGGCAGCCTTGCAAGTGAAAGCGGCGCGACGAACGACGACGGGATTGGGCGGCGGTGACCAGAACATTCGGGTGCGGCAATGCCGACAACTCCGACGGTTCGCGTCTTGATGCGACAGGCAATCTGGATAATCCCGTGTTGCGGGCTCGGGACACGTGGAATTTGCATCGCGAAGCTGCAGTAGAGAATTTGATGCAATGGCCGGTTTCGGCCATCAGCACGTTGCCGCAGCCTTGTTTGCTGTGTTCGGGCGCCAGTTTCCGATCGCGGTCGGAATGGCTGCAGCACGTGCAGAGCCATCACGGGGGACTGCAGAAGTATCGCAATGCCTTTCTGCACCTGGAGAGTTTGGCTCCTCACGTCGTGGTGGGATCGGAGGCGGGTATCGTCCGGTTGCTTAGTTTCGGGCATGGAAGGCGTTATTTGTTTCTCTTGTCCTGGTGTTTAGTTGGTCTGGCGTGCTTTTTCAGGTGCGGCACTACGTGGCCAGTTACTCGCGGTTCTTGCGACATGCAGCCATGGACTGGGACGAACCTCCGGAGTCGGAGCTACCAAGGAGGTGCATGCTCGGTTGCGCATTTTGCGCTCGTTCTCACTGGAGAGAGGCCATGCAAGCTGTTTATCTGACGGGGGAGAAGGTGTTCATGAACAATGCGGAGGCCGTGTGGGATCTCTTGTCTGTGAAGCGGTACCAGGAGCGCTGGCCGCTGATTCCGTTGGAGGACGTTGGGTGGGAAGCAGGGTCGGCGCACGTGCTTCTGGCTGGTGTCCGTGCTGGGTTAGACAATAGGTAGAGGCCTTGTACTTTAGGGTCTATATATATTCGGAGTCGACGTGTTTTGGCGGCAGGAGTTGGAAGCGTCGGCTGTCGACATGAGCGTCGAGGGGACGTCACGTTTCGTGCTGTTGCACAAGCGGCGCATCACTCCGGCGATGCAGCGCGGCGAGGCGCCCGTTCTTGCTTGCGCGGACTGCGTCGAGGCCTTCTCGGCCAAGAAGCCTTGGTTGTGCAAGTATGCGTTGGCGAATGACCTGTGGTTGGGCCGACCGGAGCCGCAGCTGTGGGGTGCCAACCTGACTCACGAACTGTGTTTGGCGCTGGCGAGAACCGTTGCCCAATAGACCCGGTTAGACAAAAAATTGCCGTCTCTTCGATCCTTGTAAATCTATATATTTCTACGATTTCGTCAAAGTGTTTCGGCAACTTGTTTTGCCGAAAATAGTTTAATCGTGAAACGCCAATTAGGAGAATCGGTGGCACGAATTAGATTAAAATCGTTTTGACGATTTCGTCAAGATTTGCCGATTTCGACAAAGCTCGTTTTGACTATTTCGGGAAGATTTGCCGAAATAGTTAAGTCGGCGGCGGCCCAAACTGCTATCAAACTGCTTCACTCAACGGCTGAAACTGCTACACCTGTTTTGTGTGGTTTTGATGGCACATTTTTCAGTATATACGGAGAAGAACATTTCGAACTGTTCGCATGCATGTGAGTTTTGTAAAAGAAAGAGACATACATCAGAGGATAAGCAAGAAAGAACGACACGGAGAGAGAGAGAGAGAGAGAGAGAGAGAGAGAGAGACGTGCAGAGACAGAAAGAGCAGGGAGAAAGTGCGAGGACCTTGACTGACCGACCTCTGAGTGACCGACCTTGAGTGACCGACCTTGAGTGACTTTGAGTGCCCGACCTTGAGGGGAGTGTGTCGCCGCAGGTGCTTATATGGTTCCTGCGACACCCTGGAGATTCATCTTGCTGTGTGCCAGGGCCCCGATTCCAGAAGTTTTCGCTTCTCAGTCGGATGCTGCGGGTCTCTTTCATGTCGGAGTGAGGGTTCTCCTGTATGTGCACACAACTTTTTTATGTATCTATCTATATCAATACCCTCGTCTATAGGTCCCTATATCTATCCATATATCTATCTAAACCTATCTTTCTACATCTATCTATCTATCTATCCTATATGTCGCATGCAAGAACCCAACAGACACAGACACACACAACCGTGGCTGTGCTGTTGCCACCTTGAGGGATCAGGCTTTGTTGCTCACCTGGAGCGAGAAAGAAGCACTCCGAGGGGGGTTTAGGCCTGTGTGTGTGTGTGTGTCACACATGGCTGCTTCGAAACCTCCCCGCTTGGTCGCAGACCCGAGCTTGGGAGTGGCCGACATGCAGATGGCAGTCGAATCCTATTTGGACAGCGATGATTGCAAGGTCAAGCCGAACTTGATGGAGCTGCTCAAGCCCCCTGTTGGTGTCACCTGGAAATCTGGAGTGTCGGCCAGCTACCTGCGCAGGGTCAGCCCGCTTTTGAGCTGCTACCTGAGGAAGGTAAGGAACGGAGTTTTGCCATCAAAGAAGAACAAGCTTGCTTTAGCACGTTTGGATGAGTCTCGCTCTTTGAACGTTTCCAAGAACAAGACCAGGGCGGATTGGACGGACTACATCGATGAGATGACACGGATGGCACTCTCTCACGTGAGAGGTCTCAAGATCAGCCCTGTGAGCAAAGAGCGTCTGTGGAGGAAGTCTGACACTGTGCAGCAGCAGGCCATCCAAGATTTGCTTGATCTCCTGGTGTTGCCGAAGCACTGCCCAACAGACGTGGAAGGCGAGCCTTCCACGAACATTGAGGCGGCTGAGCCCGCTTCTGCCTTGGTGCCTGTGGCGAAGGAGGCGGATGACGAGATCGAGGAGATCAAGACCCCAGCAGTCTTGGCAGCTGAGGCTGGGAAGGCTGCACCGAGCGATGGGCTCCAGTCCCCATGCCTGAATCCCGAGGATATCTTCTCTGCGATCTTGGCGAAGCAGGATGATGATTTCTGTGTTGGTGATGGTGTGGTCGCGAGATCGCCTCCGAAGCAGCTCTCAAAGAGCCAGGCGATGATTGTGGACAAGTCTCCTGAGAAGACTTTGGTTTCTCAGGTGGATGGAGGAGGAAAGCCGTTCATGCAAGGCTTGCTGAAGTCCGGCCTGCTCTCGGCCTCCGAGGTCCAGATGGTGCAATCGACGGCCTTGCAAGAGGCACCGGTGAAGCCGAAGCCGAAGGCGAAAGCTAAGGCGAAGACAAAAAAATCTTCGACGAAGAAGCCCAGCAAGAAGGAGAAGACTCCTCAGAGGGCGGCATCCTCGGCTGACTTGGAGCCCGCCAGTCCGGCCAAGCCGAGTGCGAGCCTTCCGCCTGCCGAGATTGCCACCCCGCCGCTCAATCGCTTGAAGTCCAAGCAGTGTTTGGAGCCAGGTTCCAGTGAGAAGACGACAGATCAGAAGAAGGTGCTCAAGCTTGTTTCCGGTGAGAAGCAGTCTAAGACCAGGAGGAAAACCGATGATGAGATCGCGAAGTTGCCCCCTGGCAAGAGGCGAAAGTTGCTGACGAGCAGGGCTTATCATATCACGTATGACCAGGCTGTTCGCGATGGCAAATCGCCGGAGGAGGCTGGCAAGCTGGCCCGTGATGCATCGCAAAAGGTGAGGGATGAACTTGATGATGAGAAGGAGCAGGCAGCCAAGGAAGGCTGAGCACATGCCGGTTTGGGCTGTGTCATCGCTGTGGCGAGACTAAGTCTCCTTGTGCAGTTCTCCTGGTGGCAGGGCTTCTTTAAGCATGGATACTTGCCATATAGGAACCCAATACCGATTGCATATAGCTGGGTGCTCAAACATGTTGGAACCAGAAGTCCGTTTTGAGCCACCGAACAACAAACTTTCGATAGCCGAAGTGCTGGGAGCGGAGCAAAGAGAGTGTGTGCAGAGTGAAGTTCTCCTTGCTAGTCGTCGTGTGCTCATTAAACCCCCAAACCCACCCAGCTGTGAGTGACAAGAGCTTGCGATGTGTGTTCATATAGATAGTGCCTGTGTGCTCTTTTTGTGCTCTTGCCGAGGTTGGGCCTTCCACGGTGTGTGCGGCGACGAATCGCGAAGTTCTCAGAGTGCAGCCCTATATATTATACTATCTATTATACTACTACTACTACTACTACTACTACGACGACTACTACAACTACTACTACTACTACTACTACTACTACTACTACTACTACTACTACTACTACTACTACTACTACTACTACTACTACTACTACTACTACTACTACTACTACTACTATACTACTACCTCTACTGTACCACCGCCAGTGATTGCATGCATTAGTGAAGTGATTGAGCCAGTGATTGCAGTGTTGAGCCAGTGATTTTGCATGCATTAGGGCAGTGCTTGTGTGACTCACTTGATTTGCCCAGGTTTTGTGAGTTCCACGGTGTGCGGGGAGGAATCGCGATTTTCTCGGAGTGCAGCCTCACGTGTGCTCTAGGAGTAGCGGCGGCAGTGAGTGTGATTGTGCATGCATTGCAGGAGTGCTTGAGCCAGTGATTGCAGTCTTTCAGAGCCAGTGACCGCACACATGCATGAGGGATTGAGCCTGATTGAGGTTGTGTGGCCCCGGTGCGAACGAATCGCGATTTCTGCTCACCTCTCAGAGTGCAGCCCTACACGATTGCAGTCTGTTGTGCACTGAGCAGCTGCATGAGCGAGTGATGCAGTGATTGAGGGCAGCTGCATGAGTCAGTGATTCAAGCGACACATGCCGGTTCAGTGTTCGGGTTCTCAGCTGCAGAGCAGGATCTATGTGTAAGCATACACGTACACTAGATTGTAGATCCTGAACATACCTCTTTCACACCTCTCAAACTGAAACACCCTACATAATCCGGTTCCTCCCAAACCAAACACTGAATGTCTGTATAATGGTGCCTCAGCCCACAAAAAGCCCCTTCCGTCTTCCGTGATACAGCCACAAACATGGACCGTGTGTTTGTTCGCCACCTCAGCTTCGCCGTGAGCCAAAAGCAGATCCTTGATTGGGTAGGGCAGGAAGCTCCTTCTGCAACGGTGACCGCTGTGAACGTTTTGAGGGCCGGCCGGTCTTATTGTGACAATAGCTACTGCTCGGCATTTCTCACGGTTGGTTCGAGGGAAGAGGTGGATATCCTGGTGTCGAGGATGCACAATAGCCTCACGTCGTTGAGCGATCGTTGCTTACATGCTGAGAGAGCAGTGCCTCGCATGAAGCATCTGCCGGCCACCTGGCCACACATGTGTATTCATTTTTGGCTTTGTGGGATTCAAAATCTGGGGTTTATGGGTTTGGGACTGGGCTTCGTGTACTTCGGATTTTTGGCGCTTTTTGTTTGGGGAGCCACATTCTTTTGAGCCCACATCCTGGCCCTCTCAGGTTTCAGCAATGCCGACCGAGCCCGAGCTGGCGAGCGACGAGACGATGAACCACGAGGCGACAAGTCGTCGATCTATCTACCTATCTATCTATATCACATTCTTTCTATGTATATGTATATACATATTTCTAAAGCCTGAGCCCTAGACCCCTAAACCCTATAAAGCCTTGTTGCTTCTAGCATGTGGGCTGATTGGACCAACCCAAACTTCGACTTTTGCAGGCTCGATAGGTGGAAGTTGTGGTGTGTTCCAGTGCGGCATCGAATAGCTTGAAACAGTTGCTGTGTGGCACGTCCATCTATCTATCTATCTCTATATATATATACATATTAATATATATTAATATATATATATATATTCATATCTATTCATAGATATTCATATATATTCATATACATATATATATATATATATATGTATTGATATATATTCATATATATATATATATATATATATATATATATTAGTATATATATATATATATATATATATATATTAATACATATTAATATATGATCAATGTATAATTGCACCTAAACCCAACACCCTTGCTGTTACTTGAACTGGGATAAAATCCCTAAACCCAAACTCCAAATACCTTATACTTAACCCCAAACCAAAACCCTGAACCCTGAACCTAAACCTAAACTTTGAACCCCCAAAGCCCTGCCCTAAACCTTAAGCTCTCTCGGACACTACATAAAGGGCCCTAACTTGGAGCACTACCCAACTTACATGACCCCGGCAACCCTTCAAAACACTACCCTAAACGTAGCCCCGAGAGCCTTGAAATACACAGTGTGATATATCTACATTTAGAGCACGGGCTGTTGTCGCAGGACCCGGGCCATGAGAACACCAACGAAATCGAGCATCCTGAAGAGAACCACCAGGAGGAGACTTTTTCTCCACAGGGACCTCAACCTAACACCCAACACCCTTGCTGTTACCTGAACTGGCATGTAATACCTAAACCCAAACTCCAAATACCTTACTTACTTAATCCTGCCCGTAATTACACAGTGTGATATATCTACATTTAGAGCACGGGCTGTTGTCGCAGGACCCGGGCCATGAGAACACCAACGACATCGAGCATCCCGAAGAGAACCAGACTTTGGGCTCCACAGTTGCCGAGGCCGAGACCCAACACCCTTGCTGGTACCTGAACTGGGTTTTTCTCCCTAAACACCTAAACCCAAACTCTAAATACCTTACTTAATCCTGACTGTAATTACACAGTGTGATATATCTACATTTAGAGCACGGGCTGTTGTCACAGGACCCGGGCCATCAGAACACCAACGACAGCGAGCATCCTGAAGAGAACCAGACTTTGGGCTCCACATTTGCCGAGGCCGAGACCCAACACCCTTGCTGGTACCTGAACTGGGTTTTTCTCCCTAAACTCCTAAACCCAAACTCTAAATATCTTACTTAATCCTGACTGTAATTACACAGTGTGATATATCTACATTTAGAGCACGGGCTGTTGTCACAGGACCCGGGCCATCAGAACACCAACGACATGCTCGCTGAAGAGAACCACCAGGAGGAGACTTTGGGCTCCAGAGTTGCCGAGGCCGAGACCCTAAACTCCAAAGCCCTTAAAAACCCCAGGGCCCTAGGTTTGACTTCTGCACTACTTTGTGTGATAAGGTTGTGGTACATGTAGTATAGAGTTTTTGGGTTTGAGTGGTTTTGTTTCAGGATGGCGAGGCTTCCGGTGCTGGTGGTGAGGACTCCAACGGAGATGGCTCGGATGACAGCAGCTACGAGCAGGTCCCAGGGCATACAAAAAAAGGTTTATGGGGCTTCTGGGATCCAATGGGTTCCTGCGGCTTGGGGTTTTAGGGCTTAGCTTCTAAAGGGTTTCAGGCTTTAAAGAGAAGGCCTCGCCCCTCTTTTCCGGCCCGGTTTAGAGTTTAAGAGTTTAGGTTGTATAGGATTATATAGTTTTTCATGTATATATCTATATATGTATGTATACGCGTTTACCATGTATGTATGTATGTATGTATGTATGCATGTATGTATGTAGGTTGGTAGGTAGGTATGTGTAGTGTGTATGGTTGTAGTATGTTGTGTGTACATATAGGTGGTGGTATCTTCTGCACAAATCACAAATACCCCCTGCCCGCATACAGGTGGTGGACGGCGAGAACAGGGAGTACTGGGAGGCGGAGTTGAAAAAGGCCAAGGATACTTTGGAGTTTTGGCGATGCAAAAAATTTTATGCCAAGAGCTGCCTCAGCAAGTTCAAGTCGCGATCACGATCCAGGGGCCGCTGAGATCTACACGTGTGATAGAAGCCGTGGGTTCGGGGAAAAAATGCATGTTCTGCCCTCTGCATGTTTGGTGTGAGCGAGTCACAGAGTGCCATCCCCCAAATCCATGAATAGCCCGATGGCCCAGGCCCACCCATAAACTTCGACAGCCAGTGCGATCCCTGCTGGACACCCAGTTCCGTTTGGTCGTGCCGGCACACACAGTCTGCAAAATATGTTACATGTGCAATTCCTTTTGTGTGTGAGCGATTTACAGCACATCATCCCGGACCCGTGAATAGCCTTGCGAACTCCTCCGATGGCCCAGGTCTACACAAACTTCGGCTGGCATTGCGATCCTTGCGGGATACCCAGCCTCCGAAACATGTGCCGTAGGAGTGGAGTGGGCTTGTGTGTGCATAAGTGCAGAGATTCCAGAAGCATTGCATGCGACACTTTGTGTGGGATACGGAACCGCACAGCTTTTGGGCTTTGGAGTTTGTGGGCTCTTCCGTGCTGCCATGGATACCGGTGAGGACTCCCAAGTTTTTATCGATCACGAGTTCGAGCAGTGGCTGGAGGAGCCCGAGAAAGCCGATCCTAAGGAGGCCAGGGAGGTCGTTGTTGTCACCGCCCCAGTAGATGTTCTTCACGGCAGCAACACAAAGGAGGTGTTTAGCGACAGCCAGGAGGTGATTCGCGAGCCAAAGAACAAGAAGCCCAGGACCAGCGAGAAGAAGACAGATGAGGACTAGTAGGGCAGGGTGACAAACGATTGTGACGGTTTTTATATGTGCGGTTGGTGGGAGGACCACTGAGTGTGCACCGTGGAGGAAAAAAACCTGGAGCGAAGTAGGTCTGTGTGACAAGATTCAGCAGCCTTTGCCCGTGTTTGCACTTCCATGCGGGCCCCAGACCTTAGAACCCGAAGCTCCAAACCCTAAAGCTTCTAACCCCAAAGCCATAAACAAACTTTACATTCTAAGGCCCGAAACACGTGAAACCATCGAAGCCCAGACCTAAAAATCACCATAGACCCTCAACCCTCAGGGCTGAGAAACCTGAAACCATGAAAGCCCACACCCAAAAAGTCAGAGTTTGAGCCTGGAAGTTTGCTAGAAATTTCCAGACAACTGCTAGGGGGGTATAGAAGTTTAGTGGAAGTTTCCACCAAACTGCTAGGGGGGGGTGGAAGTTTCAGTAGCAGTTTCAAAGCCACTCCGAAGCTAATGTCTCGAGTGTTTGTTACATTGTTGGCTAAACTGCTACCAAACTGCTACCAAACTACTACCAAACTGCTAGGGTTTTGCTGTGGAAGTTTAGTGGAAATTTCTATCAAACTGCTAGGTAAGACCGTGGAAGTTTGATTGAAATTTCTACTAAACTGCTAGGCTGCTGCTTTGCTACCCTTTGGAAACTGAGTGAGTTTAATGGTTTTTTCTTATCCTAAGCTACTACACAAGTGTGTGCACGTGTGGAACTGCTAGTGCTTTTTGGCTCACTGTGTGGGCTGCTGCGATCGAGCTATAGCTTGTTGTTGTCCAGTTGTGTGCACAGAGGCAGCATGGGTAAGCCGAAGGGAACCGTTGCTTCGCCGTTGAAGATGCAGCCGAATCCGACGAAGAAGACCTTGAAGGTTGCAAAAAAGCCTGCTATGGCATCCAAGGGTGACCGTGACGACAAGGGCGACAAGGGCTTGATCAACCGCAGCATCGAGGAAATGAAGCAAGGGGTCTCCACGGACGAGTGTGAGGCCCGTGACAAGGGCAAGGCCCTCAAGTATACCAAGTTGAAAGAAGCTGGAGCATTGCCCCAGCACATTATCAGTTTGGTGGAAAACGAGTCCAAGAAAGCCACATCATCCCGCCAGTTCAAGACCATGGCGATTAACCGCCTTTTCCAGAGGGACGAGGACGGTATCATTTCCCTTGCCACGGGGGACAGCCTTTTTCAAGAATCCCAGGAAATCTTCACCCAGACGTATGCGAAGAAAAAGGAAAAGGCACTACCTCGGTCTATCATTCAGGGCCTCTACTTCCAGAACGATGCTAAGAGCTTCGAGGCCGCACTCGCCAGTGGCGATCTTGAAGAATGCGAAGAAGACGGCCGGAAGTTTTACAGCTTCAAGGAGTACACGGTTGCCAAGGTGGAGGGCAAGACCACGAAACACAAGATGCAGACGGAATGCGGGGTTGATGTGCAGGTCGGGTGCACTACTACTATACTACTACTATACACCACTACTACTACTACTACTGCTGCTGCTGCTACTGCTTCTGCTATGAGAATGTGTAAGCCAAATCCCAAGCACACCAAAAGCTCATTAGAACCAACAAAAAAAAAGTAGGGTACTAAAAACAGTAGACGGAAACACTAAACCATTAGAACGAACATAAAAAAACTAGGGTACTGAATGAGAATGTGTATAAGCCAAATTCCAAGCACACCAAAAGCTCATTAGAACCAACATAAAAAAGTAGGGTACTAAAAACAGTAGACGGAAACACTAAACCATTAGAACGAACATAAAAAAACTAAGGTACTGAATGAGAATGTGTATAAGCCAAATCCCAAGCACACCAAAAGCTCATTAGAACCAACATAAAAAAGTAGGGTACTAAAAACAGTAGACGGAAACACTAAACCATTAGAGCGAACATAAAAAAAAACTAGGGTACTAAAAGTAGGGTACTAAAAACAGTAGACGGAAACACTAAACCATTAGAGCGAACATAAAAAAAACTAGGGTGCTGAATTTTAGGGAATGCCCCGACCCATCCCGAGAACCTATATAAGCCCCTTGAACTTATAAGCCCCACCAAACCCCCCCTCATCCCATACCGAGCACTTCGTGAATAAGGAGCAGCGAGAGCTTCAGGCGGTGTTCGCTGCAGTGGGATGGACGATGATGGCTAGCAAGACGAAGAAGAAATTGGAGAACACGGCGATGGTCAACGAGGAAGGTGGCTTGACCGATCCGGCTGTTGCCCTCATCACCAAGGCCCAGGAGTCCCAGAGCAAGTTGCAGAAGGCGGTGCAATCCCCAAACCCAGAGAGAGCGACCACTCTACCCCATGAGAGTTTTCCAAGAGGGAATTAAACCAGCCCCACGAAACATGCAGGAGGGCATGCAGCTGCTGAAGTCACCCAAGCTGACGGAGAACAAGTCGATTCTGGACATCAAGAAGGGCTGTGCTATGTGTATGACATTTTCGACCCAGCTGGCTCAGATCGTGGACTTCCAAGTCTTGCCGGATGGAGAATCCATCTCGAAAGCAGGGCTGGATGCTTTCCTGAAGACCGTGGCCGAGGCCACTCGCGATTTCAACGAGAAGTTGGAGGTGACCAAAGGTCTCCTCCGGAGCAAGAGCAACTGATGCTCTTCCCACATGTGGGGCAATGGGATCGATTTTGATGTCTGTGTGGACCTCCACAGGGCCTTACAAGCTTCAAGTCTTACACACAGCAGTTTCCGGCGCTTTTCTGCTTAGATCCAAACAGCTGTTGAATGTGACGGAGGCCCACGGCTTGTGCCGATCCGTTGCCGATCCGTTGTGCACTCGCACACACACCTGTAGGCTTTTGCTCAGAAAAAGAAAGTGAGTGTGTGCTGGCAGACCGAAGCAAGTGAAGTGTTCGTGTGATTGACATGAGCCTTGAACCTTATTCTCACACTGCATGCGGTCAAAACGAGGTCACATCTTGCATCAGATCATCGTGTGCTGGGGGCCCAGTTTTACCGGTCATCGTTTGGTCGCTGGAAGCAAGAACAGGACACAGTCGGTTTGTGCGGTGTGCTGGCGATTGGAGTGTGTGGCATGTTTTCCATGTAGGTCAAGCTGTGATACAACTCTAAAGTATATAGCACCTAGAGTAGATAGTCCAACTCCGAGGTGTTCGTGGTTGCCCTCTCCGGTCGTGCTCTCCATGCTGGCAGGCCGAAGCAAAACATGAGCCTTGAACCTCATTCTCACACTGCATGCGATCAAAACGAGGTCACATCTTGATCTTATCATCGTGTGCTGGGGGCCCAGTTTTACCGGTCATCGTTTTTGGTCGCTGGAAGCAAGAACAGGACACAGTCGATTTGTGCGATGATGCAAGTGCTGGCGATTGGAGTGTGTGGTT